ATGTGTGTGTGAGTGTGTGTGTGTGTGTGCGTGTGTGTGTATGTGTGTGTGTGTGTGTGAGTGTGTGGATGAAAAAGCGGGGTTGGAGCAAATCAGATAATGAAGCAATAGGAGACAGAGGATCTAAACACGGAAATGGGTAGGCTACTGTACGAATTCTTTGCTCATATCATTTCTTTTCTAAGTTTTAGGTCAATTGTCAGCGTCTATTTTTTCAGAACAAAAATCGTTTTAATTTGTGCTGTCTAAACATGTGTTATGTAGTTTGCATTTCAATGTTTGGATTGTTATTTGTTTGTTGTAAAATCTAAGAATCGTTCTTAAGACCACCATGATTACCTACTCTGTTTGTTTTTTTAACACATCGGATGAAGCTGTTGGTCTTCAATTCGGTTTCTCTGTCTTAGTTACTTTTTTGTTACCGGCAGTACTGATTAATGCACGCAACATGCTCCCATTAGTCTCCTTAAAACTCAGGATTCCTGGAGCTTGGTTCAGAATAAACTTGGTTTTTAAGATCACCAGCTGCAAAATGGCTAGAATGTTATCACTTCAAGTAGCATATTATTATTATGCTACTTAAGACGAGTAACATAAGAATTAATAACTTGTAGCACAGGACTTTATGTATACAGCAAGACATCTCACTCCTCTTTGAGATTTAAAAAAATGTTATAATATATTGTTTTAAAAACCCAGGAGAGTTACCACCGCATAGCACAAAAGCTTGAAAGCCAGCAGCTGTCTGATCCATCTGACCGACTATGGGTAAATTGTGACAAGCTCTTTCAGATTGTTCACCGTTAACCCACACTACTGTATTTGGATTAGACCACAGACGTCAACGGAAGGATCGAGCGAGTGGGTTTTTTTTTGTTTTAGTAAGTGTTTAACGGCACTTGCGACACAATAAGGTCATAGATCTATAAGTGCCGGAGCGAGTGGTTTACAGGGCGTTACTCCTGTGTGTCCTACTTCGTTCCCCCCCCCCCTTCCCATCGATGGCTCCTGTCTGTCTGTCTGTCTGTCAGTCTGTCTGACTATTTTCTGCACTAAAAGACCTTTATTTTCCTGATGTGCCTCTCTATTGTCTCCAGTAACTAATAGATCGCAGTAGGTCCAACACAAGTTCTTTTCGTGCTACATTCATCTTGACATCAAAGTTGACCTAAGCTGTAAACTATTCCCTGCTTGAGATTGTGACGAGATCGTAGCGATAATTGTACACAGATTGTGAGATTTACTACCATGGTCAGCTGCTGCGTTCTTGGGAGACGCCCTTTCTTATTTACGGCGCCACTGGTGCTTTCTGGGAAGCCTTTTGTTTGTTTGGGTTGTTGTTTGTTTGTTTGTTTTTGTTTTGTTTAAAAGTTTCTTTGGCTTTTTGTTTGTGTATTTTTGTTTTGTTTTGTTTTTTGTTTTGGGGAGGGGGTTGGGATCTGCTTTTTTATTTGGATTTTTTTTTTGGTTTTTGTTGGGGGGGGGGTTTAGGTGGTGCGTATCTATCTATTTAATCTATCTATCTATCTATCTATCTCTCTCTCTCTCTCTCTCTCTCTCTCTCTCTCTCTCTCTCTCTCTCTCAACCTGTTTTTTAATTTAAAATACCGACCAAAAATTTTAAAAAGTACGAATGAAAGACGTTCACATCATCAGTGTCAAAGGGAACTAGATTTGCCACAAAAAGTATTACGCTTAGAGGAGAAAAAAAATTTAATGTTTTTCGTTTTGCTTATTTTCTTTCTTTCATTTACTGTCTAAGTTCTAAAAGCTTAAGCGATTTTTTAGTAATTTAGCGGAATCTAAAACCGCCAATTCATTTCCTATCAGGCTGATGATAAAAAAGTGTTAAAATCTAGCTTTAAAAAAAGCCAGGTGACTTCCTTTACTTACACCCCCCACCACGCCTCCCCTCCATTTATTGTATTCATTTCATCTGAACACCTGTCAACAGGATCACAAAAAAATGTAGCATTTTTCTTGAATTCACACACACACACACACACACACACACACACGCA